TTCTAGACTTCAATAAATTTGAGTTGTTACATGATTTTCATTCGCGGAATGGCTCGTAATATTGAGGCATCAAATATAGAAATGGAAGAAAGCTTTCTGGCTATAGAAGCACTTGTAAGTGCCCTAAGAACCTTACGCGAATGACCGGTGCAGCCAATCGGATAGCAAGGAATTTCCTAGGACGGGCTTACCGTGGTATTTTCTATGGGAAAAGAGATTTATTCTATGTGGGACAATTCGGAGAGCTGTATATATGTTACAAGTACAAGTTGTAATCTTATAATTGAAGTTTACATTCTATTTTTTCCAATTTGTTGTGTTTTCGTCCAACATTTATAGATACGAGAGGGCAATTTGCGTACGTGTCACACACAATTTTGAAGACATAGTACAAAGCGGATTATTTGTATTTTTGTCATTTTACACACGCCCAATGATCAACACAACGTAATTGTAACGCCCCGATGCTTTGCAAAATTTTCTTTTGAATTTCTTCCATGCAATACTTAAACCTGGAATAAATTAACAATCTCATGTGTGGTAAGAAAGCAAATGCATAAACACGATATATTTCGTCGAACAACGAGCTTTCGCGTGATGAAAGAAATTTAGAGCTTAACCGCAGGCTGTGCTAGTCTTCACGCATATAACTTTTTGCTCGGTAGTCCAACAAGGTTTGACACTATCAATTTGAGAATCAAATCCAATCCACGTCACTGAGATTAAAGCGATTCAACTGTTAGCCTCTATTTGAGAAGGCGAGACCTTCTCCTCCTCTTCCTCCTAACAAATTTCGAAACATTTTTACGGCGAAAATACTTCTATAAACATGCATGCTTATCTGTGGATGATGGTTCCGCTTTACTCCTTATTTTACTTTTTCAATAGTTTTTTTTTTGCTCAAATCGTGTAGTATTGCAAGTGCAAATTTTATGAGATAAGATAAATTTTACAAAATAATTTTCTGCTTATAAGGAACGTAGGCTGAGCAATTGGCAAAGTCAACAATACAGGTGTACATTATGAAGAAATTACATAAAATGAAAAGAGTGGATAAGCGGAAAGGGAGCGCCTCACGTGAAATGCGCTTATTCAGCAATCTTATTATGAAGCTTTCATGGGGCTGAGGTGTTCAGCACTGCACGCTCCTTTGAGGTAGGTAGCATCTTTGAGAAAATGCACATGGAGCAAGGAAATGCAACCA